TTTAAAGGCATAGATATATTTGATATATACGGTGCATATTGTGTATATACCAGGAGTGCGAGAGACTGGGGACTGGTATGCGCGCAAACCATAACCATCATCATCAGCCAAAACAGAGCACCAGTATTATTATCATCAGCACAACAACAGCACACCATCGCTATCACCGCCAACAACAACAATAATAATATAATCATAATAACAATACAAAACTGTGTGCTATAAGTCCGACAGACCAACTGTACTGTCACTACAATATATAGTGGACAGAGTGTCTCAAAATTGTTATTTAAACAAATAATAACAATAATAAGTTTACATAACTATCTGATTATAAAATACAAAGTGGTGTTAAATATTGTTAATTAATTACAAAAAATAATTAAAACTTATAATTATTGTGCACATTATAAATAATAACAGTTATAATAAATTCAGACCCTGTGCTAAAACGCGCCGCACCCGACACTACTCGACAACTATGCAGGCGTTCAACGGCACCGAACAGGCCTACTATCCGTACGGCTACCACCTGTCCAACAATAGTCTATACAACACGTCACCCGTCGGTGCCGGGGGTGGAAGTGGCAACGGGGGCTCGTGTACGCCACCCGGGCACACGGGCTCAGCCGTATCGCCGTACAGTATGCTGAACGCCGCGGCCAAATCCATGCGCTACGGCCATCCCTACGGCCCGGCTGTGCAATATCCGGCCAGTTTGGGAGGGGTCGGCGGTGGCGGGGCCTCTATGATGGTCGGCGGCGGTGGCGGTATGTCCGGCAAAGAGATGGTCAAACCACCATACTCGTACATCGCGCTGATCACCATGGCCATCAACGGTGCGCCCGACAAAAAAGTCACCCTCAACGGTATCTACCAGTTTATCATGGACAAATTCCCGTTTTATCGCGAGAATAAACAGGGTTGGCAGAATAGTATCCGGCACAATTTGTCGCTCAACGAGTGTTTCATCAAGATCGCGCGTGATGATAAGAAACCGGGCAAGGGCAGCTACTGGACGCTCGACCCGGACAGTGTCAACATGTTTGATAATGGTAGTTATTTGCGCCGTCGGCGCAGGTTCAAGAAAAAGGACACTGGTAAAGAGAAAGACCAGCCTGGTGGTGAGTTACAGGGTGGGGGTGCCGGGGCTAAGGCCGATAGACTTAGACAGTGTGCCGGCGGTGGCGGTGCTAATAGTGGCTGTCAGTCGTCGACCGGCGCGGCGGCCAAAGACAGCAAACGTGATAATCATATGAAGTCGGGCGACGATGTGCTGGCGCTGAAGGCCAGCACCGGTGCTAATAATAGTAATCATCATAACAGCGCCGGTAGTGGTAGTGGTGGTGCCCATAGAGTTAACAGTAGTAATAGTAGTGGTAGTCGTGGGTCATCTGCGTTAAGACTGACCACTAATCCGTACTCTATGGCTAACACTACCACCCGATCGGTCATATCAATGGCCAATAGCACCGGTGGTGGTGGTCAGGGACTGCAACAACAGCCGGTCCATCACCAACAGCACATACCGGTGCAAAACAATAACATGTCGGCCCAAACGCGACTTTTGCATCAAATCATCAACAATGGCATCAATAGCTGTACAACAGATACTGGCAATCAGGGCCTACTGTTGACTACCGGTGCGGGACTACTGGCCAAGAAGGAGGTGCTGGACAAGTGTGAACTGTCTGCCTGTATGCAAAACATTGACTACCAGTTCGGCGGTGATCTGAAGGCCAACTGCGGCCGGGATGTGCTTCAGCAACACCAGCAACAACAGCACCACCACCAGCAACAACAACAACAGCTACAGCACATGCAATCCCATCATCAGTACCATCACTCGGCTCTGTCTACTTTGGACGACTCGCTGGACGGCCCGATTGGCAGCTTTACCGTCGATGGCCTGATGGCCAGCGCCCGTAATAACGGTTCCGGTGGTGGTCTCCTAAACCGGGCCAACTGTCTGTACGGCTCGTGCGGCGGATCGCCCACCGGCGCCACCGACGACTCCAGCCCTCACAACAACAGCTACTGCCAGTCGCCGCCCGTACCGCTCGACCCCCAGCAACAACAGCACCATCCCCTACACCATCATTACGACCGGGACATTGGCCACCCCGGGGGTCACCCCCATCACCAGTCCATGGGTATAGTGATCGAAGACATTAGCGCCACCGCCATGAGCACCAGTGCAGGCCATTTGACAGTTCAGGCCACAGCCACGGCCAGTCTCGCCGGCACTGGGAGTCCCATCGTTTACGATCATCACAGGGCTAACGGCTGGTACGGCAGCTCAGGCGACGGTGGCTCGCCTACCGATTGTGATATACCGGTGGGCGCCGGCGGCCCTCAGGCCACTGCCCAACAACTGTACGCCAACGCCTGTATGCGGGCGGCTGTGGCCGCCGACTTGTACGCGGCGGACAGGCTGTCGGCCACCGGTGCCGGTGCTGACAGCGATGGCCAACACTCGCCGCCGGTGAACAATACTAATGGCAATACTAGTAATGGTAATAATAATAGTGGTGTGAATAGTGCCGGTTGTGTAGCGCAGGCTTCCCATAGTAATAGCGTTACGCCCGATGGTTATCAGCCGACAAGCGGGTCCGGCAGTCCAGTGGCCACCGCTGCCACACCCGCTGGTGGCCCCTCCGCCTCCTATTTCGCCCGTTTCTAGTCATATAAGTATATAATGTATGGATTTTTTAATTATTAAAATTGCATTTCATTTGATTTTTTTTCAATTGTTTTTTATTAATTATAATTACAAACAGAATTCAAACACATATATTGTTTTGTAGATTATATTGATTTTTTTGTGGTAAAATCTATGGTTAACTCTCGTTACTGTGAACACTGACCGATAGTTTGTTT